GTATCACTCATTATGAGGTATTGTTCATTTGACACACTACCATGTTGAATCCATATCAGTAAAGTTGAAAGCACTCGTGACCATGGAAGGCTCTGCGTGAGTACATGCAGTTACCGCTATGATTCGGTGTTCGAGACTTTATGGGATCGGATTGACTATTAAGAATAATTTCTAGACCAACATAAGGGTGCGCACATAGTTCTATTTCAATTAATATCGCCCAAGTAGGAGAATGTAAGAATTTCCTAATGTGGGCTTCATTAATTGAAATTAACTGAATTAGTTTGGTCTATTAAAGGTAAGATATATAGGTTCTTAATAAGTCTAATATGGGGCTGGCTGGTGTGGGCCGAGTACGGCCCGACCCGTAATGAGAGGGCCCGTAGTCGACAACTCTATAAATAGAGCTCAAGTCCCTCCCCTAACCTGATGATGCACAATCTAACTCACATACAGATCTAGAGAGAACTTTCTTCTCGTGAGTGGCAATCTCATTAGGCCAGTGTTCTAACGAAGGGTATAGGGGAGAAGCACTTGAGTTCGTGTTTGGAAACCGTCGCAAATTCCGCGTCAAGTTCGATGGATTCCAAACCAAATACGCGAATCGATAATTTCTCCATTAATGTGTTTCGGTTTTTGACTATGGTGATCTTGGGCGTGCCATTTTCGTGGCCAACAAGGTAATCTCATAGCAAGAGACGCATTCCTCCCTCAGAAGTGCAAGTATACACATGCGGGATCCCCTGACGTTTTAGTTCTTTTTTAACATTACATAGAGATCATAATTTTTTTTCTTAGATAACAACTGATATAAAAGTAGAGTGATAGCTATATCACTCCACAGCTATCGCTGCCGGTGTATTAAAATCTTTCATTCTATCAGAGAAAATAGAAACAATCGTTGTGTTTGTTAAGTTCTTCGTCACGACCTCGATGATGTTATTTCCCACATTGAATGCCGAAATCTTTGTCCGCAACTGACAGATTACTTGCAAGGCCCTGCACACCAACGATGCGCGCCGAACAATGGAATTTGTTTCACCAGAAAATGCTCCCGCGGCGAAATATAATTCACCGAAAGTCATTCTTCGGTTCTTAATGTGAGGAGACCGGGTTCCGTGGCGACTCCGGACAGGAAATATCCAGGGAGACAAGGAAAAACGGCGAACTTTTACTCCGAACTTCGAACCGGACTATATGTACAAACCATGCCGGAATTTAATTGACGACAAAGCTTGAAAATACAGCCGCACACGTACACAAAGATGTAACGCCGGAATTTAATCGACGACACAACACTCGGGATAGAGATACATGTCGGAATTTAATCAACGATGCGAATCGGAAAGCTACAGCTAAGGAAAGATAAAGTACAGTACATGAAAGTAAAGATAATTGAAAGATAACATGTTGTTTGATTTTGTCGGGGTCTTTCTTCGGTAGATGGCCGGTGATATTTATAATGGTCGTGTGGTAACTGCTCCTTAGCAGTTTTCAACAGTTGTGCCCATGTTCTTCCATTCCGAAAATCTTGTCTTCATGTCCATGTGATGCCATGATTCTGCTTTCAAGATAACTGTCTCACGATTTTGTCCACAAGTGATAACTTCCTCATAATCATGGTTCCAAGTAACTGTTCTCGCATGTATACTCCTTAGTGGTTTCCAACAGTTACGTTGAATCCACTACCTTGACGGTTTTCTTTTTACTCCACTACGTTGGCGGTTGCTTTGACTCCACTATGTTGACGGTTACTTCTTCTTTCTTTCTGCATCTCCAACCAGTCACAACCGTCGACTTCCTCTTAATGTCGAAAACTCTACAGTGATTTTCTGAGTAAACTCAAAACATAAAAGTTGTAGATCCATGAGCCTTCGTTCTTTTGGTTTTTGAATCAGGTCAATCCGATCTGTCTCGAAGAATTTATGACCATTTTCCCGAGCTAGCGCAGAACTGAAATTTCGTCGAAGTCCTCGACAAGATGAAGTCACGACCGTCGACTTCCTTTAACCTTGATGGATTATACAGTGATTTTCTGAGAAAACTTAAAACATAAAAGTTGTAGATCCATGAGTCTTCGTTCTTTTGGCTTTGGAATCAGGTCAATCCGATCTGTCTCGAAGAAGTTATGACCATTTTCCCGAGCTAGCGCAGAACTGAAATTTCCTTGATAAAGTCGTGACCAGTCTTGTCAATAATACCCAAAAATTGGTCATTTTTGGGTGTAAATATATACACATGACACATGTCTCTGACATGTGTCCCTTATGTTGGCAACTTGATGATATTTGCTTCCACGTTACCTCAAGTCTCCGTCATGTGTCCCTTGATGATATTTGGCACAAACGAACCATGTCGACAAGTTAGCTATTTTTTGGTGTAAACATATGCCCCCTTTAAAAGAATGGAATGATTCATCAATCATTCGATTCTTTTAAATTAGGTAAGCAAAAGTCCTCATATGCCCCCTTGTCATCGGCAAATATGATTTTTTTTTTGGCCAAATTTCATATTCTTATATGGCTCATATTTTTTCCTCGAAAGACACATCTTCGGTAAAGTTTTCATGTGGCCCGCTATCTCCATCCTTAAGTAATTGCTCATATTTAGACACTCTCGTTGCCAATTCAAATAAATCGGCAAAATTTTGGCCTCCAAATTTTTCTCTCAAATTAAAGTTCAATCCATTGAAAGCCAAATTTGTAAATTCTTTCTCCGGTAGTGAAGTAAGACATCTATTTCTAGCCCTCTTGAATCTGGAAATAAACTGCTCTACTAATTCATAACTATATTGCTTAATATCAGCCAAATCAGTAATGGACACATTGTGAACTAACCTGTAGAACTGGCTATGGAACTTTGTCTCCATTTGCTCCCAGGAATGTATAGAATTAGCCGGTAAAAATGTATACCACGTGAAGGCTGTCTTAGATAATGACAAGGGAAATAGCCTTAACTTCCAACAATCAGCATGAGATGCATCACCGCATTGTGCATCGAACCGACTAACATGTTCCACTGTCGATTGATCATCTTTGCCAGAAAAAAGGTTGAAATCAGGAATTTCAAAACCTCTTGGATATGGTACCGCGTCCATCCACTCTAGATATGGTTTTCTGTATACGGCTCTCATATTTACCGGATCATGTTCCACGCGTGGCACCGTTTGGTCTAGTATTACCTCAACCTGTTGAGGATCTTGACTATGGATCACTTGAGTAGGATTATCCAGACTCGCCTGCACTTCAATTGAACCACTTGATGTTCCAAGCCCGTGCATGACCTCTTGGAAGGTGTTGACAATTATGGGCTTTATCACATCGATGACACATTTTATCATATGGTTAATTGTTTCCTTCTGGTGTTCGTGGAGAATCCTCCTCATAGAAGCAAACATCATAGGATCTAGCTCTAATTGCATTCTCTGCTCATCAGTGAGTTGTCTTGGGTTGTCAACATCTTCACCTTGCTCTTGTTCTGCTACCGGTTGCGCAGTTGATGACTCAGAACATCCCACTTTGTCATTTTCATGTTGTGGTGATGAGTTGTTACCACCAGCGTAATGGGGATCAACTTGTTTCCTTGCTCTCGGCATCGTATCTCCTCAAATCAACCACAATGGTCCCACTGGGCGTGCCAAAATTATGTTTCACCAGAAAATGCTCCCGCGACGAAATATAATTCACCGAAAGTCGTTCTTCGATTCTTAATGTGAGGAGACCGGGTTCCGTGGTGACTCCGGACAGAAAATATCCAGGGAGACAAGGAAAAACGGCGATTTTTTACTCCGAACTTCGAACCGGACTATATGTACAAACCGTGCCGGAATTTAATCGACGACAAAGCTTGAAAATACAGCTGCACACGTACACAAAGATGTAACACCAGAATTTAATCGACGACGCAATACTCGGGATAGAGATACACGCCGGAATTTAATCAACGACGCGAATCGGAAAGCTACAGCTAAGGAAAGATAAAGTACGGTACATGAAAGTAAAGATAATTGAAAGATAACATGTTGTTTGATTTTGTCGGGGTCTTTCTCCGGTAGATGGCCGGTGATATTTATAATGGTCGTGTGGTAACTGCTCCTTAGCAGTTTTCAACAGTTGTGCCCATGTTCTTCCATTCCGAAAATCTTGTCTTCATGTCCATGTGATGCCATGATTCTGCTTTCAAGATAACTGTCTCACGATCTTGTCCACAAGTGATAACTTCCTCATAATCATGGTTCCAAGTAACTGTTCTCGCATGTATGCTCCTTAGTGGTTTCCAACAGTTACGTTGAATCCACTACCTTGACGGTTTTCTTTTTACTCCACTACATTGGCGGTTGTTTTGACTCCACTATGTTGATGGTTACTTCTTCTTTCTGCATCTCCAACCAGTCACAACTGTCGACTTCCTCTTAATGTCGAAAACTCTACAGTGATTTTCTGAGTAAACTCAAAACATAAAAGTTGTAGATCCATGAGTCTTCGTTCTTTTGGTTTTGGAATCAGGTCAATCCAATCTGTCTCGAAGAAGTTATGACCATTTTCCCGAGCTAGCGCAGAACTGAAATTTCGTCGAAGTCCTCGACAAGATGAAGTCACGACCGTCGACTTCCTTTAACCTTGATGGCTTCTACAGTGATTTTCTGAGAAAACTTAAAACATAAAAGTTGTAGATCCATGAGTCTTCGTTCTTTTGGCTTTGGAATCAGGTCAATCCGATCTGTCTCGAAGAAGTTATGACCATTTTCCCGAGCTAGCACAGAACTGAAATTTCCTTGATGAAGTCGTGACCAGTCTTGTCAATAATACCCAAAAATTGGTCATTTTTGGGTGTAAATATATACACATGACACATGTCTCTGACATGTGTCCCTTATGTTGGCAACTTGATGATATTTGCTTCCACGTTACCTCAAGTCTCCGTCATGTGTCCCTTGATGATCTTTGGCACAAACGAGCCATGTCGACAAGTTGGCTATTTTTTGGTGTAAACAGAATTGCTTTTCGACAAGCTGTCATCCTTTTCATGGGATGCCAAGGCTGTGCTGACACTGTCAGCTTTGTCGGTTTACTATGCCGAGAATTGGCATCGTGCTGAAACTGAAAAATCGGACTACAAGTTAGTCTTGGCGGCCGTGTTGAGAGGGTCACGTGCTGGTAAGTCGGCTTTTGCAGCGCTTAAAGGATCTGATCAGGGTGATTTTAGAGTTCACCAAGTGCACTGTTGAGCTTGCGAACTACTCTAAAAGTTTCGGAGAATCGACATCGATTGACATAAGAGCCGGAATTTATCAAATCATTGTCGGCGTACTTGGCTGCTCAGTTCCGTTCTGTGGCATGATTAGCACGAGCAATGAGTATGTTATACCTTGCCCTTGCTTTTAGCTGCCTTTGTTAACAGACTTGGTATTAATTCCAAGCCCTCTCTCTCTCTCTCTCTCTCTCTCTCTCTCTCTCTCTCTCTCTCTCTCTCTCTCTCTCTCTCTCTCTCTAGCTGTTTTACTTCAATGCTCAACCTATTTCTTGATGACTTCAGGTTCCCAGAGCTAAATTAATCGCCCTTCTCGGACCGCATCGTGGAGATATATGAATCATTCAAGAAACAAGTGGAAAATTTCAAGCAAGAGAACGGTGAGATCATTGTTGTTCTCACCCAGAAAGTTGTCCACCTTATCCAGATTCCTTTTTGCGTATGCATATAATTTTTGTCCGATCCATATATCAAACAAAAGTACCAAAATTGCAAATGATTACATTATGCAGCGGAGCAACGTCGATATAAGGAGATCAAGGGACTTTACAGATCTATTAATGATACTTTAGGGTTTATGGCCGCTCTGATCTGCACCGAGAAGGATTCGCCAACAGTTTATCAATGTTCCAAGAAGACCACGGTTAGCTTCTCAGTCCCAATAATCTTCATTTACTTTGATTACCACTCATTATTGTATATGAATGTCACGATAAGGGAATGCATATCAACTTACAAGTAATTAACTACGTTTGAAATTTTTAAATAGTTCGTTTCTAGGCATTCAAAATGCAAAAATAAAAGCATGGTTTGATCACTGCTTGTCATAGGTAAAGGTGGAGGTGTTCCAGAAGAAGAACGTGATGCTGCTTATTTCGGGCTTGGACTTGTCGAACGATGATTTCAAACCCCTTAGCAGCACCTACAATGAGAGCACCTTCAAATCTAATTACGAAATTATGTGGGTTCCCATTGCGGCTGTAGAAGACGCTGTGATAAAGGAGCAGTTCCAAAACAAGAGATCTCAGATGCCCTGGTACTCGTGCAACTCCATCGTCAACAAGGCATCAACAAAGTTCTTCAGGAAGTGTTGGCAATTTAAGCAGCAGACAAAGGTTGTCGTGTTGAACCAAGAGGGGAAGGTGGTGAACATGGACGCAATGACGATGATACGCCTTTGGGGATCAGAAGCCCTGCCGTTCACGCAGGAGAGGGGCTGCAAGCTCTGGGACGGGCACAGGAACAATTGGCTCAAGCTCGTGGTTGTCGCAACCGACCTCCCTGGATTTTTTTAAAACATGCAAAAAGGGAGGATTCGCCTGGTACGTGCTAAGTCTAGGTTCAGGACTTAACTTGGGCCCTCCCAAGCCCATACCATATCGCGACTTAGGGTTTAAGTATTTAACATGCAAGTGGTTTATACCAAGAAGTCGCCACTAATCGATTTGGGGTGGGTCGATTAGAAACCCAAATAAGGTGATGGGAGAATCACCCTATTCCTGCGAACCAGAGATTAACTAAATTCGGGGACTTGGTTATACTAGTTGGATAACTAATGCCCTTTCGGTACCTTTTTACCCCGTTCATTTCATGAAAACATTTGTCAGGCAATTTAGATTGATTTTAGGACCTTTCTCCTAACATGTGAGGTGATCAAGTGAGTACATAATCAGAAACGATCAGCAGTCAAGAACACAACAATTCATGCAGCCTAAGGTTCTAACCTTAACTAAGTCAGATGACATTCAAAACACAACTCATGCGATTGTATTAAAAACATGCATAATAATACAGCGATAATAAAAATAACATGCAAAATATTACCGCGCAATCTCAGGCTTGTCTAATTTAAACAAGACAAAAATATGCATAATAATACTACAATAAATTAAACATTTAGAATATATCACTCAAATTTTTTAAAAAAAAATTTATTTTTTTGAAATTTATTTTTTTTAAAAACGGAAGAAAAAGAAGAAAGAAAAAAAATTTAAATTTTTTTATAATTTTTTTTAAAAATATATAATATAATATAATATAATATAATATAATAATAACCAGGTCGGGTCGGTCAGGTCCGACCAGGGTCAATGGACCCGACCCATTACGTTGACCGGGTCGGATTTCCGGATCCGACCCGGGTCGGATTTCCGGATCCTACCCGGGTCGGATTTCCAGATCCTACCCGGGTCAAAGGGTCAACCCGGGTCTAGACCGGATCGGGCCCGGTTGGGTCCCGGTCCTGTGGAAAAGACGAAATAGGGCCGGTTCGACCGGGTCGAACCGGCCCTATTTACTTGCAAACCGATTGGACCGGTCCGCAGGCCGGTCGGACCGGTCCGCAGGCCGGTCGGACCGGTCCGCAGGCCGGTCCGGGGACGGCTCCCGCGTGTCTAGGAACGCGGGAGCTTCGCCGGCGAAATCCGGTGATCTTGCCAGACGACCCAGGCCACCCATGGCCTGGGTCTTCACCCCACAAGCCTCACCTACCTGTTCCGACGACTAGGCTTGCCGTCCGATTGCTCGATCGCCGGCCGGCGGCCAAAGACAAACCCGGCTCTTGGAAGCATTTCATCGAGCACTTGGCGTGCGCGATGAAAATCAGAAGATTTCGACCTCCTCCGGCGACCTGGTCGGCTCCGACGGCTATGGTTCGCTTCAGACGGTGAACAGGGATCGGGACTGACGTCGGTATGGGCCGGGATTCGTGCGAAACGGCCGGCGCGAGTCCCGGCCCAACCACGCCGGAAAACAGGGGAAAACAGAGGCGGTTCTCGGCCGAGGGCTCACCGGTTGGCAACGCTTCTGAGGGGCTTACGACTGGTCTGGGGACGTCGACGACCACTGCTAGTTCTCTTTTGGCCCCGGCGTGACCTCTGTTTGCGCTCTCTCTCTCTATTCTCTCTCTTCTCTCTCTGTTCTTTGTTTCTCTCTCAAAATGGCCGACCCAGGCTCTCTGGCTCTCTGTGTCGCCGCCGTCGGCTCGGCGGCGGGGATGGATGGCTGAAGCTGAGGTACGGTGGCCGCCGGAAGTTCCCTTTCTCTCTCGGCTCACACTCTCACGCTCTCTCTGTGTTTTTCTCCAAAATGGCCGACCGGCCTCTCTCTCTCTCTCTCTGGCTATATATAGCCGACGACGATGCGTCTCTCTGCTCCGTTGCGTCTGCATGACAACGGCCTGCACCGGCCTACGCTGGCCTGTGACTTCGTGGCCACTTAGGCCGATGCAGAGCAGGGGGAGGCTCTGAGACGGCAGAGCAGAGAAATAGGGGGAAGAGAAGGAGAAGGAGATAAGGGAGGCCCGGGAAAACGGGGGGGACGGGACTGGCCTTAATGGCCAGTCCCTGTGGCGTGCTGCCCCGGCCTGCTCTGGCCGGATAGGGACGGGGTGAGGCAGCTCCGCCGCTCGTCGCTTCTGCGTCAGCAGCAGGGGAGAACAGGGGAAGGACAACGACACTCGGCGGGGGGAGGAAGAAGGAGCAGAAGGGGCTGGGCCGGGCCAGGCCCAACCGCGCGGAGGAAAACAAGAAAAAAGAAAAAGCGGGCTGGGCCCATGCGGGTGAAAAAAGGAAAAGGAAAAACGGCCGGGTTGGCCCGGCCCGACTAGTTCGTTTTTTTTTTTTTTTGAAATTTTTTTGAAATTTTTTTTTAAACATTCTAATAGACCCTATTAATACAAATGTGCCTAAATTCTATATGCAATGTATTTAAATAGAAATATTTTTTTGTTTTAGGAATTAAAGAAAATTAATTCCTAAATTTTGTGTAATTAATTTTTGGGCCAATTAAAATAGGTGTCAACAGCTGCCCCTCTTTGAAGGTGAGCTCGTAGAGTTTGAGCTCGCAGAGGTTACGTTCAAAGATAAAATGACACCTAAATTTGCCCCATGCATGCTCAATGAATGCTATTTTTGGCGAGACCATGAGTCTCATTTTTTTATGATGCGATAAGATGATGCATGCTAAAGTAAATAAAAACATACCTGGGGTTACTTACCTTGCCGAAGGGTAGAGTAATTCCAGTTAGTTGATATTGTGTGTCGAGGACCCGAACCTATCTTCGGTCGCCTTGAATGGGGGGAAATGATTTGTCTAGGACCCGAACCTTTCTTCGGTCGCCTTGACGGAGATTGCTTTTGTCTAGGACCCGAACCTTTCTTCGGTCGCCTTGACTGGATTTTGTTTGTCTAGGACCCGAACCTTTCTTCGGTAGCCTTGACGGGGATTGATGGTTTGCCTAGTGGGTCCTCGCCAGCAGGTCTTGGAGAGACTCAAAAGATGAGCACCTAGGGTTCCTCGCCCGAGGATTTGTTGATTTGCCTGGTGGGTCATTGCCAGCAGATCTTGAAAAGGCTCAAACGATGAGCACCTGGGGGTCCTCGCCCGAGGATTTGATGTGAACAGGAGGGTCAGTTCCATGCTCAGAGGGTGAACAACGGGGTCAATCCGATGTTCAGAGGGTGAACAAAGGGGTCAATCCAATGTTCAGAGGGTGAACAACGGGGTGAATCCGATGTTCAGAGGGTGAACAACGGGGTCAATCCGATGTTCAGAGGGTGAACAACGGGATCAATCAGATGTTCAGAGGATGAACAACGGGGTCAATCCGATGTTCAGAGGGTGAACAACGGGGTCAATCCGATGTTCAGAGGGTGAACAACGGGGTCAATCCGATGTTCAGAGGATGAACAAAGGGGTCAATCCGATGTTCAGAGGGTGAACAAAGGGGTCAATCCGATGTTCAGCTGGTGAATTGGTGAACAACGGGGTCAATCCGATGTTCAGAGGGTGAACAAATGGGTCAATCCAATATTCAAAGGGTACCATAATAATTATAGGTACATGATTTTTTTGAACCGGGCATGGGTAGAATATACTTACCTGGGCACATTCCTGCCTCTTAAGGGCGTGTCTCCTGTCAGACAAGTTTTTGTGCAAAGACATATGTATTCATCGGAGAAATAGACAACTGAGGCTATTCTTGAATATCGTATGAAATATCTTGACCAGCAAGTCAAGATGCTTTTCTTTTTCAAAGGAACACCCAGTTTACCTTCTGGGTAGTTTGAAAAGAATTCTGATGAAATACCTGGGATTTCTTACCCGGAGGTTTGATGTATCATCTGCTGAATACCCGACCTTTTTCAGGGCATCTCTTTTGTGATGATAATGAGGGCTTTCCCAGTGCCTGAATTTTCATGTTCTATCACTGGGGATTAGAACTCTAAGCTGCAAAAGCATGCTGTGTCAATTCCACTTGGGGAACAGAAGAAATTTTTTGTGACATCTTTGGAGACGCTCCAAAGGTCATATGTTCTTTGAGTCTTTGAGGATATTTTACCTGTCAAAGAGGGTTAGCGCAAACATGCATGCATTCATCAAGGATAGACAAGCTGGGCTATTCCAGAATGTGTATTTGAAAGTTCATGCATAGCTGACCAAAAAAAAAAAAAGTTCATGCATAATGATTTTACCATGTTTGCATCACTAAACATCCACCGAGGGTCAATCAAGACAATTTTCGCTTAGGATGTGGACTTCTCGAGATGCTGAACGAGGGATCCTCAGTCAAAAAGGACTTTCCACTCGCTCTCATTGAAAAGGGCTATTTGTCCCGTCCATTAATGCGGGAACATCGAAAACACTCAATCTGATCGTTATCACATCCGCAAGGGTCTGAGTTTTCTCGCAAGCGGTATGACGCTGCCAATCTGAGAGGTCTTCTTCAGGGTCGTAATGCTGGCTTAGTCAATGGCTTAACAAGGGTGACTGTCCAAGTCAAGGCCATGAAAGAAAATATTCTGCAATCATCTTCAGGTTTACAAGTCAAGAGCCCTGCAAAACGAGATAGAAGTAGTCTTGCTCGCACTTCCTCGAGCGTTGTTTATAAACATTTGAAATGCCACGTTAATTCAAGTGTCCTAGTCAGAAGAGACTTCATGAGGAACGTAACGTAGGCTCGGTTCACAGGTTGAGAAACGAAAGGATCGTTAGGCTCAAAAATGTGTGTAAGGGTGAAAGTTGGTAATCATCTTGGCATTGTCACCAGTCTTCTTTCACCGTTAGGATCCTTCTGGAAAATTCTCTAGGTAATCCCGTGCTTTGGTTTCTTGGACAGCTTTTTCTTGAGGAATTTCTGCGTCAAGTATTTTCCTGGATACCATTCAATCTCTGTCCCAATTGCTTTCTGAGATTTCCTCAACTAAGACTTCATTTTTTTTCATAGCAGTTACCCAGAAATTAGGGACTCCTTTCTTTTCATATTTTTCATCATTTTTCTTCTTCTCCTTTTTTC